GAGCACCCAGATCGACTGGCGTCGCAGCACGCGCTCGCAATGGCATACCGAGCAGACGGGCAGGCGCAGAAGGCGGTAGATCTGCTGGAGCATGTAGTCAACGTCGAAGCTCGCTGTCTATCTGCAGATCATCCTTCGCGGATGTTGTCAGTTGGAGCTCTGGCTGACATGCGTGCCGAGCAGGCCGTTGACTCAGACGAAGCATCCTTCTCTTCTTCCCTCAATAGCCCCACGACTGCCGGCTCTCCTAGTCATATCGTTCAGTGGAGCGAGAAGAATCCGCAGACATGAATCTCTTCTATTTTGTATACATTGGTAGTCTTCTAGCCTAGCCTGGTTGACGATCAGCATAGTATTACTACAGTGCCTGGAGAAGTCTGCTCTCTAGCCAGGAGTTATTGACAGCAATACGCAGCTTTGCGTAGTGTGGCTTTGCAAGTTGTCATTTTTGAGCAAGTTAGACAAGTGGAAGAGAGTGCCACCAATCTAGTGAGGCTGGCGTGATTTGTCCCCCCTCTTCGACAAGACAAATTCAATCAACATAACTCATCATGTACATCAGTTGATTTCTCTGATCATCCTCACATTAAGTTTTAGAACTTGCGGAACCTTGCCTGATGTTAGAAAACAGTAGATTGGCAGGCGTTGGGATTAAATTATTCGTAAAAATTGATGACTTGTCAGCCATACATTCAAAATTTTCAACCTTCACACAGAGAATAGTTCAAAGTGCCAATAATATGGGGAAAACTTCGAACTAAATAATACACTTGACGCTGTGGTGGAATTGCACCCTGAAGCATGGAGTTGCGATTTCTAGGGGGACAACCCTCCAAAACGGGGAGAAATGACACCTATCATGCCTTCATTAGAGTTATTCAAGATCGCCGCTAAATCATCCATACTCTGATTTTATATGTACTCAATCATCTATACTGGCGCGGGAGCCATGCCATACCCGGATGGACCGTCAATGTAGAAGAGATAACGGTAATTCAGTCAAATTACCTGTGCCGGAGACTACTCAATGGAACCGCAAAACACCACGCCACGCTGCTGAAGTAGAGGCTCAATCAACACTACTTTGCGACAGGTCCCTAAGGCACCGAAGTTCCTCACCTTTTCTTGTTATTGAGATGTTTGATCAGCCCAGAAAAAGCACTGAGATGCTACTGCGTTCACAGACATTGCTGCCCGCCCGAGTGCCGCAGCTTGAAGCGTCAAACAGGGCAGCTTCTAACCAAAAATTGCGCAAGAGGAAGCGGATTCAGGGGGGTGGAGACCTATTAAAGGAAGTGATATAGGACTTAACGGCCCAATGGGACGTCGGGGCGCGAGTTAGGGGAAAGTCCACACAACGGCATAACTTGGCGACGGCCACTCCCATCGGGACTCTCTAAGCTTCGAAGTAGCCATACGTAGCCTATATCCATGTGTGCATTCCAACCCACCTCTGTGAAACAGAGATGCAGAAAGAATAAGGTGTAGAAGCAGAGAAACAGCCCTTTCTTATACTTTGCTACGAATAGATACGAGCGTCTGCAAGTGTCGGAGGGAGTGAAGGTATCCACCGATTGCCATCTGTTTGCTAGCGGTCTGCTGCACTGATTGTCTAGCTTATTTGGTTAGCTCGGTTTGCTTCCCTACCCCTTCACTGCTATTCCCTTCTACTATATTATCTTGATCAATTCCTGCCAATAGCTCTTCGGATCAATCAACATGTAAACCCTGCAACAGCAAGGTCAATACTGCAAGTCCACACTCTGCCAGACCCAACGCCCATGCCAACCGTGGTCCTGCACACTATCAAGCATGACGGTCGATACTCTGATGGTACCCACAGCATGTTTTTGCCGTCATGCTTAATCCATGTATTATTTGAGCTGAGACTTGTGCCTTGATACAGAAGGCGCTCAGGTTCCGCGAAAACTGCCTTGCTGGAAGTCCTTGAGTTGTGTATGGTGTAGCAGCGTGGGCCGCTGTGGTATACTGATAGCTGCGGTAAACGATAACATAGGACTATCGGGTCGATGGAATACTGCGCTGAGTTGCTATCTAGCTAGGAGGCGACGATATATACATGTCTTGAAACGTGCTAACTTTGAACCGTTACAGATGTGTGGGTCAGGGCTTATATGTGACCGATACCGCAACAAGTGTTGACATCCGCAACATATGGCAATAGTACCTATCTCAGTACAGAGAAAAGAGTTGGTAGAGTTGAAGGATAGATTGTAAAGAGGCTTGCCGATTTTAAGCGTCTGTAGGCACGCGCCGCTGCTCGCATCCCACAGCTTGATGGTTTTGTCGAATGACGCCAATGCCAGCTTGGTCGAGTCGTGCGAGAAGGCTACAGAGCTGACACGGTTGCTATGGCCCTCGAGCATCTGCAAGCACGCACTCCAGCCGCTGCTCATTGCTGGCTTGACTATGATTCCTTTCGGCTCTTCCTGCTGGAATAACCTCCTGATTGCGCTCCCTGTCGGACTGAACAACAACGCAGATGCATATGCTTGCAGAGGGTAGCTTTCGATTGCTCCTTTATGGTACATGATGACTTGCCGCGCGTCTTGGAAAAGATTTGTCAGCTTGTCCGCATCCCGCGTCTCCTGGTAGAGTCAGCATCTACATGGAGTACACATTATGTTGGAGTTCAGTGAACTGTACGCAAAGGGAAGAAGTTGAAGATTGTACTGAGGTTGTATTGAGTGAAGCTACGAACAGTATATATAGGTGAGTAGCTGTAAACAGCGCTAGTGTGACGTGGTACTCACTCTCATGACAGGTGAGGTACGACAGGCAGGAGCACCCCAAACCGTGACACATTACCAGCACATTGTCCGTGTTTGCCATACCTTGGCTAAAGCCCATAGTTTTTCCATTGAAACCATACCTTTTCCCATGCCCTTGCACAGACTAAGCCTTTCTAGCCAAGAGAGATACTTCGTTTCCAAAAACTCGTTGCTTATGACCATAAATTGCGGGTCGCCAACGCCATTTGCCTGAGACTCATGTTTCGAGTGGCAGAGATGATCAATCCAGTAGACGCACGGGTAGCGTGATGCTGCTAGTGAGTCTGGCCTAGGCGGTTGAACGTTGTCAATGTGAGTTCCTAGTGCTTCCAGGCAGTACATGTCCCTGTACAACGTCTTGGACAGAATCGCGAGCGATCTTACAAACATCGCCTTATGAACGGCTTCGATCCCATGTGGAAAGACCTCATCAAACTCCTTTGCAAAGAGAAAGTCTTGTGCGGACTGATGCATAAAGTAGATTGTGTCTTCTCGTACAGTGAGAAACAATCCATAGAGACCAATAATCTCTCGCACTGACTCCAGGCCATCGGCTAAGTCCTCAAGTGGCTCCACGAGCGCAACCAGTTCGGAGATTGTATCCGGCCGATACAAGACTGCAGTTGATGCCAGTACCTGCTGACAGATCTCAGCACTGTCTGACTCACAGATCTGATGCATTATCCGCCTGTACAAAGAGCCTAGTCCAGGCGGTAATAGCACTAGCCTCTTTAGTACGTTCCATTTTTGTGTTGCTTTGAGGTCTAGGCATATCAACGACACCCAGGGAAAGGTACCGTTCGCGTTTGACGTCAAATGTTGGAGCACCGCAGATCGAACCTCTGCTCTGTACTGCTTTTCCTGTGCTAACTGATCCACCTTTTGCTGGATGGAGATGTCAACCGCTGCCGCAACCGACTTTGCGTTTAGTTCAAGACTCAGTCTCATTTTGTCTCCTTCCCGCCCTAGCCGTTCTTCAACGTCTGGCCACTAGATGTAGCCAGTAGAAGTGGCATCACCAATCTGCGCTGTGTTACTTTCCTTCATACAGAATAGTACTCATTCTGTCTCTTAACAAGCATGTGCATTGTAGCAGACATTGTGCACTACAAGCTTGCGCCAAGGAAGGTGTCACTCAAGGCTTAACCTCTGTAACATGCTGTCTTTGCTTCTAAATTAATGTCAATCCAAGCGAGCCGGGACGCACGGCGTAACGGGACGAGTTTGCACTTCGGAGCTTCGCCATCTCTTATTTACAACCGCCTTAAATAGCCGTTGAGGCATTAATGTTACGTGACCTTCTCTCCGCACTTCTATTAAGGTCCGGTGCCAGTCGCCCCAATGTTGATCTTGATGTCGATAGTTCTGTAGACGCCGTCAATCGAGCCTTTGTGAATACCCCCCTGTCCGTTCACGGCCTGGAGGATCTCTGTGAACATCAGAGGGTCTGAATGAAAGTGCGATTAAGCAAGAACATGTCCCCAGGCCTTAAAAGCTATTTCGAGTTAGGAAGAGTGGGGTCCGGGAGTTTTGCCGGTCGGGAACGAAGATTGCAAAATGCGATACAGCCTGTCGGGATTCGCTAGCGCGCTTAGCGTTAGGACAGACTACAGTAGCGTGCTCAGATATCGCTGTCAGCTATCGTAACATATGTGAGGTTATGCCCACTACAGATTGCGCAGGGATCTTGTTAAGCCGGCTAGGGGTGGCATGGGTAGATAGACAATATAGTAGCAAGAAGTGTATTGAGGGTAAGGATAGACTGATCACTGCCGATTCACAGTGGAAAAGAACTTCTATTTATTCCCCGCTACTTACGCGGGGCTACTAGCCTCTGGTGGGCCACCGACCTGACATCAATTCTGTGAGGCTTTGAAGGAGGTATGGTTGTCCATCCCTGATAGCCTGATCCGCAATGTTATTTACAGTATGCCACAATGTTTAGCTGTAGTAGAAAAATCACATGGTTACCAGACTAGATATTGACACCTTTCAAGTAAATTAAGCTATATATCATCTAAATTGGTCATGATTTGATGGTGCTAGAGCTGGTTGAAGATGGGGTGCAAAGCGCTCAGTGATGCTGATAACCAAGGTGGGACCAAACTAAGCCACTAGTACTGTAGCGGTGGCTGCTCTGGTACTAGACCGGTGCAAGGAGATGCTGCAACAGATGCCACGAGTCATGCACTGCTGGCTACAAAGCTGGGGTTTGCACTTCTACACATATCCCTTCAAGCTACCTCAATGAGAGGTCACATAAGCTGAGTATTGCTCCTTCCTGAATTGCTTCTTGTGTTATGTGTTCCAATTGTGGCAAGTTTGTCAGACACTGGATCAGGGCTTAAGCGAGGTATACGGGCTAAGTTGTCAAAGGTACAGGTGCAGGTAATGGAATCTGACTGCTTAGGTCTAACCATCAAGAAACCCAGCGGCCCATGATTGGAAGCATGGCCATCTTCACTTTCTGGAATGCTGGGTATCCGCCCTTACAATATGGCCCATTGCACAGCGTGCGACTACAAGCCGTACTTGTCTGCTCTATTCTGGGCTGGTAGACTTGTTACGCGAGTACTAAGGAGCTCGTATCAGCACTCAATCTCATGCCCGGTATTCTCGCCAAGAAAAGTCGGACTGTGGCAATGAACAATACTCAGAGTACATATACAGATGTCTGTCGCTTATGAAGAGCTGCAAAGTCACTGATAGCTAGGATACGGGAAGGATGAGATTGTCGTCCATGCGAGGTGGAGTCCGAAAACGGTCTCATCAGGGACACAGAGAAGGTTGCCACATACACGGTGGTGTTGTGTGAGATGTTGTTGGATGATATGTGAGTACAGCACAAGCTCCCCACCTCTCACACATCAGCCCCAAGCCCCAAGATACAGACCTTGAAAACAAATCATTTCTCCTCAAAGTTGTCTTAACCCTGACCCTGAATCCGCCCCTCAAGAGATATAGAATCTGGTAAAAATATGACCTGATGAAACTTGAAGGGGCCGAAGCACCTCACCTGTGCCGTGTGTTGCGTGAGATGAGATGGAGTAACGCTCGCAAAGACGTACAGTTGCGTAGGTACATAACTAGGAGGTGCTCAAAGAAAATATGATCTCTATAGCTACTACTCTTCGACAACCTTCAACCGCCCTTCACTCTCAACAATTAACGTTGCTTTCACTCCCCGCACCATCCGTACCAGATCAGTGTCAGCAACCCTGTTCTCTACTTTCCTTGTCTCATCGGGCCGCCACCCATTCACGCCATACAAAATTGCCGCAAGAATCGAGTTCTTAAATAAGTACTTCTTTCTCCTACTATACGTTGCCGTCACCACCAGAAACCCAGTTGACACGCACACCATCATGAATGGCATAACAAGCCAACCCCACGTGATGTTGAAGAATTGCTGTGATGCGTACACGATGCCTCCTCCCGTTAGTTGATCGGCATTGGCGTTACTCCGGATGTAACTCGTTGCCACGATTCCAATTTTTTCAAACACAGCTGCCCAGCCCACATCAGGGCGCGTAGTAAGCTGGTCCATGAATTCTGCAAAGTCGTCAGAATACAGTATTGTCTCGATTGCTTGCGTAAGTTTGTCTCGTGCGTTTGAGCCGATGACGAAGTTGCCCTGAACGCCGTCAACTGTGGCGCGTATGTCGCCGAAGTCTATGGTTTCGCGTCTCTGCAGTGGTTTTTCCTTAGTGGATCCGATTTCCAGCGTATCGTTGCGGATCAGCACGTTTGCATATTCTTGCGCGCAGAAGTTAATGCGGCAGTGGGTTATGTTGCTGGGAAATTGGCCAAATGTCTCAGGGGCTGAGATGTTGCCTGGATCGAACCATGTCTCAAGGCAAGAGAACGTGTCGATAGTGTCGAAGGCGCTGTTGTTCGGACTGACATATCCATTGTAGCCTGAGGTACAAAAGCGGAAGGAGCTGCCTGTAAACCTGGTGTCAAAGTACGATCCGTTGGTATGAAGATATGTGTTGCCAAAGACATAATCTTCAGACAGACCCCCTTGTGAGCCTTGGGGTTGCCCTAGCCCACGGAGTAAGGCCCATGTCTCGTTCGATGTTTGAACTTCCATGTTCATATGTAAAGGCGGAAAGTCCGCTTTTTCTTTCTTGCAGTCCATTCCGTAGCTGCTCAATCCATGTCCTAAGTCATTTGAGGCGGCATCTTGAAACTCCTTAAACTCCTTGTAGTCTATGCGCTCCACTATCCCTTCAGTTGTATTTGGCAATGAAGAGGTATAATATGTGCAGCCGAACTCATTGTTGACCTGAACAGCTTCAGTTTCGCAAGATGCGCATGCTGCCAGAGAGGTGAAATCTGGAAAACGACATTCCTTGCCTGGGCATTTTGCAGCGGATGTGTACACCGAGGACTTATCCAACATGGCCTCCATCATGGCAATCGTAAACTCAAGTCGAACTACAAGTCAGTCAGTGTCTATCATGCGACCAAAAAGCTGTCAAGTCTGTCTTTCCTCAAGGACTTTTCTTGCTTACCTTTAGCGCTCAAAACTGCGCCATACGCAAACTGATCATTGGAAAGTGTGCGAGCAAATGGAATGCTTCCCGTCTCGTTCTTCAGTAGCACAACTTTCTCCTCAAAATGAATCGCCTGCTGCGTGAAAGACTCAAACATTGTCATCAGCACTGTGATCAACGCCCCCACCCCTGCCAACCACGCGACTCCCCTCGTTTTCCACAAGAAAACCAACGACCCCCAAGGCCCTCTACTCGCATCATCAAACAACTGCATATGCGCGAGGTCCGCTGGTCTCTCAAAATGATTCCATTTGAGTTGGCTCAGGCACACAGCGATAGGCAAAAGCAGTGCTGATTTCGCAATTGTAGAAAGGATAGCTACGAGCGAAGCGGGTTGAATAAATAGCGACCAGGATGAAATGGGCTGGTTGTCTATCATCGTTACAAGTGCGATGATGGCGCTGGTACTTAAAAGGGCTAGAACAATGGCGCCGAACTCCCACCACCAGCCAAAAGGCACGGCGCGTTGGGTGTGGGGATCTTGCAGTGCTAGGCGGTTCTGCTCGGAATCCGCGACACGGCCTTTGTCGTGCTGTTCGAGCGCAGAGTAGTTTGAGACGTGATCGGACATTGCGGTTTCTCCTGGCATGAAGCGTGTCATGTTGGGAGGATCATGCGGCAGGATGTTCGTTGAACTTATACTTCCTGGAGGTTGGTGGTGGCGCAGGGGTTCTATTTATCATCGTCAGCCGGACGCCTTGCTGTGTCTGTGCACGCGGTGTACCGGTACAGATCTGTTGCCGGGCGCACGTGCGCAAAAGCACACCCACTCACATTGCCGAAACAACACCAAAATCCACTATTCGTATCGTCTCACCGCAACAGTGCGGAAAGCATCCAAAGAAAGCCAGTATCAAACGCAACACTCTTCCACCTACGCTCTACAACAATCTACTAGGTATCACCCTTCCACAACGATGCTCACAAAGACGGGAGTACGGGTAACAGTCCAACATGTATCGAAGCTAGATAAGCGAGGATGCCCTAGCTTACTGTTCCCTAGCGGTCCGTTGCAGTGTCTACCAGCGGCCCGTTGCAGTGTTTGCCAACGGCCCGCTGCACTGATAGTCCAGCTCATGGAAGAGCGGATTCAGGGCTAGGGTTAGACCAACCTCAAGAGATAGAATTCCAAGATTAAGAGCTTAATCTGTAGAGGAATGCATTGCAAATTGAATGCACTTCTCCAAATTCCTAACCTCTATGACGCCCTGGCGGAACAATGACACAGCAATCTGCAAGAAAGTCACGGCGCAGACGTTCTTCCAGTCTGGTGGCCAGCAGCAATACTTTGTTGTAGAGCATATTGTGCAGGAAGAAGAGGAGGGAGACGAGGTAGTGGAGGGCAACGTCAACGCAGCAGACCCGCATGTAGCATCAGATATTGTTGATTGGCGGCTTGCGGAGTGGGAAACAACAAAGAAGGCACACAAGGAAGCAGCATGTGTTATGGATGCCCGTGTTGCAAAAACCGATAGATCTGGCTGGCTGAAGCGGACAGGTTGGCTAGAGCACTTTGCCAGTCAGAATCTAGAGCACCTTGCCCACCAGGCACGGCTGCCTGATCAAGACGAAGTGAGGCTACATCGGGCAGCAAAGTTAACTGAGCTGCTGGTGGAGAGGAGTGTGAAGGAGCTCTCAACGCTTGCGCAGCAGACAAGGCGGTGGCTGCGGAGCGCAAAGATGCAGGAGGTTGATCAGCGGCCCATGGCCCGATCCAGAGAGTCAGGCTCGCTACGCTGGGTACATGGTTAAATTTGTCTGCTACACCCTGCGCTTTGTAGCAGAGGCAGAGGCGAAGTTGGCAGCTAGGGTTAGGGTTAGGGTTAGGGTTAGGGTTAGGGTTAGGGTTAGGGTTAGGGTTAGGGTTAGGGTTAGGGTTAGGGTTAGGGTTAGGGTTAGGG